CAATGTACATGCCCTTGACCGGAATCAAACCGGGGACCTTTCAGTCCGCAGGCTGACGCTCTTATCCACTGAGTCAAACCTGTTTCGGCCGCATCACTACTATTGTGCTTTGGAGCCATTAAGTAAAATAAGGGTTACTAAGATACAAGCACTGTGATATCATGACAAATAGATCTGATAATTGAGACAGCTGCAATGTGACCAAGGGATGGGTAGCTTCTATACCATGGATACACTGGACAGAGGGATGATTCATGTCTCAGGCAGCAAGGAGCAGCGTAGTGCAAGATTTCATCATGTGACTCAACTGCGCAGTTTAATTCTTATGAGTTTATTTCTGGAATTTTTTATTTGGCATATTCAGACTGAGGTGGCCATGGGTAACTGAAACTGAAAGCAAAACTATAGATACGGGAGCACTACTGAACGTGATAAATATTTTACAATAAAAAGGAAATGACAATACTTATTTAAGTTTTACTATCTTATGATTTAATCATGAACATTAATATTCAAGAATTTCTGAATGATTAAAATATGGTTTTCTAATATTTGAGAATTACTATTTCTAGTAATAAAGCCATTTTTAGAGAATCGACAGATATTGCTAGAAATTTTTTTCCTTTTCTGGTTTGCTCTTCTCCCCAATTCTTTTAATTTCTTTTCCTCTTCTTTATTCCTGAAGTTGAACTTGACTCAAGTGATATAAATCGGCAGTCTAAAAGAAGTATTTTAATTTTTAATACAGTATGGTTTAAAAAATCTTCACTAAATATTATGAACTAGGATATGAACTAGGAAGAGACATAATATTGGTATTAATAAAGGAGTAGACATGATGAAAGATTAGTAAGAGCATTTACAATCCTGAGTTTTTCACTGAATGGTAGTATTTATGGTTTGTCTCATTTGTTCTCTGGTTTATTTTTTGGTTGTATAATTATAATACTGAACTTACATATTTGTTGCTGCTTTGATATGCTATGTAATTGAATCTTTTAGATCCACATTTTGAGACATTTAACAGTTTTTATAAAAGAAGACTTCCTCAAAATTAAAAAATGCTACTCATACCAAGATTAAATGTTGAATTTAGTAAAATGTAATTTTTTATATAAAGTAGTTTTCCAGAAAGTTAAAATAAAAATACGTTTATTTGTTCTAATGGAATTCATAGGTACTGCTTATGAAAATAAACATTTACTTCTTGGAGTTGCTTGTTTTAAATATTTTATATTGTGGATTATAAAATTAAAAAATGTAATTTTAAGCTATTTCTAATGTGGTTATATGAAATTGCAATTGTATTACCTCATAAAAGAAAGAAACTTCTAGATGCTTAATAAAGATCTTAAATCCTTCTAGATTTTTTTCCCAAATGAACGCAGGTGTTGAGCATTGTTATCTCCTAATATTGAAATTACTAAAATATTTAATAAGCTACCAGGGTTTGAGGTAGTAACCAGATGTTTTCAGTTTCCCCGGGATTACTTTTACAGCTGAGCATTTACACTGAAAATGAGCTAAGTTTTCCAGTTTAACAACAAAAAGGCAAATAAAACACACAAATACAAGTTGTTTCTTTTGAACTAAAATTAAAATGGAATCCATTATACTTAATCTGCCTTAACATTTTACAATTAGGTAAGATTTGCATAGCCTAACCAGACATGAGATTGGAACTTCTTCCACTCCACTTTTAGCAGCTTTATTGAAACGTAATTTACATACTATAGAATTCCCTCAACTTTAAGCATATTATTTTCTGATTTTTAGTAAAGATATGTGGTTGTGTCACAATCATCAACATCCAGTTGTTAGAACAATTTTATCGAGGTATAATTGACATATAATAAACTACACATATTTAAAGTTATAATTTGATAAGTTTTGTCATATATTTAAAGTGAAACCATTACCACAATCAAGATAATTGCTGTGTCCCCAAAAGTGTCCTCAAATACTTCATGTAATCTGTCTTTGCTGCTCTTCTCATGTTCTCCTTACCCATAACTGTCTCAAGGTAATCACTGATCTGCTTTCTGTCACTACATGTTTGCATTTTGTAGAATTTTATATAAAAGGAATCACAATAGCCCTAGCTGGTTTGGCTTAGAGGATAGTGTTGGCCTGCAGACTGAAGGATCTCAGATTCAATTCTGATCAAGGGCACATGCTGGGGTTTCAGGCTCAATCCCCAGTGTGGGGCATGCAGTGGGCAGCCGATCAGTGATTCTCGTTATTGATGTTTCTCTCTCCCTTTCTGAAAGCAATCAATCAGTCAATCAATGGAATCAGTATATTTCGTTTTCTTTGCTGGGATAATCTGTTCGTTTTCACTCTGAATAATTATGTTGATTTTCATCTGTGTTGTGTGTATTAGTAGTTTTATATGTTTGTTAGTAATATTCAGTCTTGTGAATATAACAAAATTTGTTTATCCATTCCCCTGCCATTGCTATTTGGATTGTTTTCACTTATGTGATTAAGGTACTACTAATCAATCAGTTTATTTATTTTCTTTTAAATCAGTTGAATTTGAGATAATGTAAAGGACAATTATCTGGGTAGGCCTAATATAATCACATGAGCTCCTGAGAAGCAGAGAATTTTCAGACATTGATGGCAGAGAGGAAAATCAGAGAAATCAGAATCATGAAAAGAATTTTATGTGCCATTGCTGGCTCACAAAGCAAGGGGCCACATGGGGAGTAATACATGTGGCTACTATAACTTGAAAACATTCCCTAGCTGTTAGCAAAAAAATAGTTTCCTTAGTCCTATGGATACAAGAAACTGGATTCTGCAAAAACCTGAATGAGCTTGGAAGCAAATTTTTCTTCAGAGCTTCCAGATAAGAGCCTTGTCTGGCAGACAGTGATTTCAACCTTGTGACATCTTTAGCAGAAAGTGCAAAGCAGCCCACAGGGACTCTGACCCACAGAACTGTGAGATAATAAGTGGGTATTATTTCAAACTAAGTGTGGTCATTGAAAATGCAGCAATAGAAAACAAATACAGTTGGTAATCTCTAATTAGATGTCAGACATTTTGAATTTTAGCTTGTTGGGTGCTGGATATTTGTGTAATTCTGTAAATATTTTTGAGCTTTGTTCTAGCTCACAGTTAAATTACTTAGAAGCAGTTTATATTTTGGGAATTGCTTTTAAGATTTGTTATGTGGAACCAGAACATTGTTTAGTCTAAGAGTAATTATTCGCTACTACTGGATCAAGGCTGAATACTTGATAAGAGGAACCCTCTGTAAATCCAAGGAGTTTTGTCTCTGGTCAGTTGTCTTCTATGAACTCTAGTTGCCTGGTAATGCCAGGGTGATACCCAGCATTTAGAAGGGTTCATGAATCTGGAGAAGGGCTGTGTGTAAATTAATAAAGAGTCTAGAGAAGAAATATGAATTTGGAAGGCATTTTGGGGAGCCAGAGGAAGATTAGCTGTAATAGCTAAATTCTGGACCCAGGGCTCTTTTTTATTCCCACATTTTGCCCTTTGGAGAAGTAACATATACATATCAAAGGTAAGTTTGGTATACAGTAGGCATTTTTAGGTTGGAGGAAATGCCTTTGGCTGTTTAGCCAGCAGGAAGCAATAACATGTAGACTAAAATGCTTTCAGCAATCTGGTAACAGGCAATAATATATGCAGATTTTCAGGTTTGAGGAAATGCCTTTGGCCATTCCAATAAGCAACAATATGTATTCAGCCCTGCTGAATATAGAAGCCCATCAACCTTTTGAGGATTTCTTGCATTTATTATGACATGCTGGAATTAGCCTCCAGCAGCCTGGGTCATTTCTGTCTCAGTTTTGTCTCCTTAACTCAGGTAGTTCATTTAGCTCCACCTGAGATTCTCTGTCCCTGCACTCTGTCCTGGATATTCTCAAGGCAATAAGCTGAGTCAATCTTAGAGTTCATCTCATTTGTTTCCCATCTCTTAGGGATCACTGTTTTTCATTGCCTGAAATCCAGTATTTTAATACTTTTCCCCCAAAATATTTTGTCTTGATTTTGTTAGTTGTTTGAGTTGAAGACAAATCCAGGCTTTTTTTTTTTTTAACTCTGTTAAAAGCCCTTTGGTTACTTTTAGATATTCACAAACTTTAACTAAAATTAATCTTGAATTATTTAAGTTTAATGGAGCAGCTTTTACCAGGAAGTACTCTTCCTAAAGTGTTACATTATGTGCAATATCTAAAATTTTAATACTAAAGCACCATTTTTAAATCAAATGATGACAAAGCCGTAACTCCAGATGCCCTAACTTACAGTTCCTCATTTTCAATTTGAACACCGTTAATATTTATTTGCCTAAGGAAATTGCAATTACTTTGTGCTTAGATAATTACATGCCATAATTATTTGACTAAATATTAGAATGGAAAGATGTTATTTTACATCTTTATATAGAACAGAAACCCATTTATTTATGCAAAAGAAGCCTGTAAAGTCCTTTTCTATATTAACTATATAACTATTAAACACAGCTGTCAGATTTCTAATTTCTGAATGTTTATTTTAATAGGCATATTAGGTATGTGTTTCCCCTCCCACATATCCTAGCTATTATTATTCTGTAATGCTAGAAGTGTGAATTCAAATACACAGGAAGTTTATATAACTTGTTTTATGCCCTACAGACAGTTTTGGGAGGTGCTGTTTTTCTGTAAAATTTCATATAGTTGCCTTAAGATTTTTCAATAGGTTTCTCTAGTTAAAATAAGAAAGATGATAGTTACACCACAGATTCTCTGGGAGAAGAGATTTTGCTACTTTACAGGTCTCTCCTCCCCCTCAGCCACCCACCTCCACATTTTTAAATAGCTAACAAAGACTGAATTTTATATATTAAGAATTAATGTTCTTAGGATGGGAGTGGGCTGGAAAAAGTTTGCGGGGGAAAGGAGGACCTAAATAATACTTTCAATAATAAATATTTTAAAAATATAATGAATGTTCTTATTTGATATTTTTTATGCTAACAGGTACTTTGGAAGTTCGTCTTATGGGCTGTCAAGATATCCTAGAAAATGTTCCTGGACGGTCAAAAGCAACATCAGTTGCACTACCTGGTTGGAGTCCAAGTGAAACCAGATCATCTTTCATGAGCAGAACGAGCAAAAGTAAAAGTGGAAGTAGTCGAAATCTCCTAAAGGCCGATGACTTATCAAGTTCAGTAACGACGTTTTTAAAAAAAATCATATATATATATATAGCATTGGGGACACAGTAGAATGGGGAGAGTCAAAGTTGGACCATTAAAATAATGGTTTTCATAGTTTAGTTTTAAAATAATTAAAAGCTGTAATGACAAGGAACAAGAAAAAAGACAAAAAAATTAGTTTATTGAAAACATATTAGAAAACTGAATGACATAAAGCATTAATTAGAAAACTGAATGACATATAGTATTAATTCTTTTGGAAGAATGAAATATTAGATATCACTCTCTACGCCACACTAAAAGTGTACACAAGTCTGTGGGACTTGTCACATCTTGATTCTTTTAATAATATAGTAGCACTTCTAACTAACATTGAACTTTGATAACCACTGTTTACTGAAATAGTAGCCACTAACCCAGTAGTATATTGAAATGGGGAAGCAGGTGAAGATGGTAATAGTGAAATATAACAGATTTGTGAAGCATTTTGGAGACATTTTAAAGTATACTTACAGCTCTGTCCAGATAGCTTAGTTAGATAGAACATCATCCCAGTAAACCAAGGTTGTGGGTTCTTTCCTTGGTTAGGGCACATGCAAGAAAGAACCAATAAATAAGAGGAACAACAAATGGATGTTTCTTCCTCCCTCCCTTTTCTCTCCTTTTCTCTCTAAAATCAATTTAAAAAAGTGTAATTTTAAAATGATAGAAATGTATAACTAGAGAGGAAGGCATATGACATTTCTACCTATAACAGAGAACAAAGATTAACAAGACTTTTCTTTCCTGTAGATATAGACTTTAGGAAAAATGTGAAAATTACAAATGTCTAAGGTAAAAAACTATAAATAGCAAATATAGAGGGAGAAAAGCTGGATGATTGCTATTGATATACCCTTGGACAACATAAATTTAATTATGCAGGTCTGCTTATCTGCAGAATCTTTTCAATAAATATGTACAATACTATAAATATACTTTGTCATGATTTTAAAATATTTTCTTTTTTCTAACTTACTTTATTGTAAGAACACAGCACATAACATATGTAGCATACAAAATGGGTATTATTTGACTGTTTATATTATTTCTAAGGCTTCCAGTCAGCAGTAAGCTATTAGTAGATAAGTTTTGGGAGAGTCAAAAGTTAAGCAAATTTTTTACTGCATGGGGGTTTAACACCCCTAACCTTCACATTGTTTCACAGTCAGCTCTACAAGCATACACGTACATTGTGGCAGACAGCTGCCGGTCATTTGTTCACCCTTTTAATTACATTCTAATATAAATAAAATAGATAGCAGCTGATGTTTTTGTCAAACAGGATCACTTAGGAGTGTGTGTGGTAGTGTGTATATATATATAAAACTAGCTATTTAAGATTCAGAAGCTTCAATAATGAGTTAAAAAAAACTTTATTTTTGAAGGATTGGAAGATTTCTATTAAACAGTGATATCTCTATTTTAAATGTTTTTAAATATTTAAGCAATTTTATAAATTGTAATTACAGATGATGTCTGCGCAGTTTTGAAGCTAGATAATACTGTGGTTGGTCAAACTAGCTGGAAACCCATTTCCAATCAGTCATGGGACCAGAAGTTTACACTGGAACTAGACAGGGTAAGATGAGAAACTTTTTACTTGTATTCATTTTGATTGTAAAATTTATGTTTCATAAGACAGAAGTTTTATTTTTAACAGAATTGAAAAACCTAGTATTCTTGACATTTGTCATCTGTTGAGTTATACCTAAATCTACCTTTAGGTAGAGGTGAATATCAGATTGCTGCTGTAGCTTTCATTTGTATAGTGATTTGAAAATGTGTAGTTTGTATTAACCTGAATGATTGGCAGCCAGGTGAGATCTAATATTGAAATATATTTTATGTTAGGAATGCACTCTCTAAGCACTAAGGTGATTCTTTTGACCCACCATTTCTGGGTTATATTAGCAAAGCTGGATTTGAAATGAGCTATCATCCAGGCTTCCATGTGTCTCAGTGGCTTTTATAAATTATGTGAATGGCTAGAATGCAATCTGTAGCCATAGAGATTAACTTATCCTACAGTAAATTTAAATTATTGCTGAGCCCTGGCTGGTGCAACTTAGTTGGTTGGAGTGTTATCCCATATTTGAAAGGTTTCTGGTTTGATTCCTAATCAGGGCACATATTCAGGTTGCAGGTTTGATTCATTGATTCCCGGTTGAGTTATATACAAGAGGTAGCAGATCGATGTTTCTTTTTTACATCAATGTTTCTCTCTTTCCCTACCTTCCTCTCTCTTTAAAGTCAATAACAAAAACATAATACTCGGGAGAGGATTAAAAAATAAATAAATCCATGATGATAAATAACTTTATTATTTCATTCTAATACATTCATTAGAGAATGGGAACAAAATAGTAAAACTTAATCATGATTTATCTAAAATGTAAAAAGGATATTAAGTTTTTTATCATTTAGTATTCAGATTGATGGTACATATGTCATTTTTTAAATTATATATATTAATACTTAAGATTCATAATTCTTAATGTTGATGTGAAGTGATAGTTACTGCTTTATCTTCTACTTTTAAAATATTTTTCCAATTTATAACTTTTTTTAATCCTCACAACCAGCATCCTAAACAGATCCCACATCATTGCTTTTCTTGGCTCTAATATGTGTATATGGAAGTCTTTTGATTAGTGAGTGCTAAGTGGATAAGATCACTCTATTTATTTCACAAATATTTATTGACCATCTTACATGTACCAAGTATTTTAGTAGTTCTAGTATACAGAAATAATATATACTCGCTGTCAGGGAACTCGTAAGCTTAATAATCACTGATTTTTTGTTCTATGCCAAACATTCTACATGCTGGTGATACTTGATCAAGATAGTTCAGTTCCCTAAATTTATGGACCTTACATTCCAATGAATAAAGATAAATAGCAAACAAGTTGTTGTTTTTTTAATATACAAGTGCAATGAATGAAGTAAGTAGGATGGTGTAATTAAATTAGAGGGGGGCTAACTTGAATAGAGTAATTAGGGAAAGTCTCTTTAGGAAGGCTACATTTAACCTGAGGCCTGATGGGTGAAACATTGCCAGACTTGCAGAGATTTAGGGAGAGTTTCTAGCAGAAGATACAAAGTATATGTCCCCTACCTTCAAGGTAGAGAACTTGAGTTGTCATAAGAATAAAAATTGTGAGCAGATCATTGTGAAGTAAAATAGCAACTATAGGTAAGTGCCAGATTGCTAGGATCTTTATAGGCTATGTATTGGAAGACAATTGAGGGGCTTTAGTAGGGGAGTTGACATCATCTGAATTACCTATAACAAATGATCTGATATTGTGGACTATAGAACCCAATGAAAATAGTTACCCATAATTGGGAAGACTTTATAAGAAAACAAAGCTCTACCTATCAAATCATAAGCAGTATCCCAAGATTAGGAGGAGAAAGAAGGTTTGCCAAAGAGAAATAAAAAATCTTTGAGTTGGATCAGATCTTACCTTAGATCAGATAAGCATTATAAAAGGTTATTCAGTAAAGAATGCTAGAATGGTGAGATTATGAGAATCTTGTTACAAATGGAACAACGGAAAGAAAATGGATTTTAAGTTTATTAAAGAAGAGATTTAACAGCTTTGATAACTATCTTTAAAGTTAAAAGAAACATGTGCAAAAAGAATTAGACTAGGGATAATAAGATTTCAGTTTGTGTGTGCCAGCTATAATCGATTGGTAGTGATTTTCTAGAGCTTATTGCGACTTATTGGATGCATTCTGGTTTTCAGAGAAAATTAAACTGATCCAGTAGCAGTGTTTGCCAAAGGCTTGGAGAAGGGCCAAGTAAGTAGTAAGCTGTAGTACATGTTCTATCCTTGGGTTGACTGTATGCTTTGTGGCTGGAGGACAAAGCAAAAGTCAGTGGATGGCAGATTTCATTTCAGTACAAAGAATAATACTTTTTAAAAATGAAATGAGGTGCTATAGGAAATAATAAATTCTCTCTTAAAGTTGAGTGAGCAATTTATAAGAGACTGTAAGGGATATCTTATATTACAAAGGCTACACTTCTAAGATATTTTTCAATTCTGATAATTTCTCTTTCAGGGCAGGAGGAGAAATAGTATTTTACATGCTTTAAATTAGCTGTTTAAATACCAATATAATTCAATTAAGCCCACCAGAGACAGAAATACAATTAAGGTTGTCCGTGTGCATAGGTAGAGTCTTCATGTCTTGTTATATTTGCATCTTCTTTCTAAACTGTTTATACATAGAAATATTTATGACCATAAAATGTTTTGTACAGTTTCCATGTTTTCTTTTGTTTTTATTATTGATTTCAAAGATGAAGGGAGAGAGAAACATCAATGATTAGAGAGAATCACTGATCGATTGCCTCCTGAATGCCCCATATTGGGATCAAGCCTGAATCCTGGGCAGGCATGTGCCCTTGACTGGATTCGAACCTGAGACCCTTCAGTCCAAAGGTCAATGCTCTATCCACTAAGCCAAATCAGCTAGAGTTCCATTCATTTTTTTTTTTTTTAATTATCTTTATTGTTGAAAGTACTCCAAATGTCCCCCTTTTTTTATTTTCCCAATGACACCCTGAACTTCTCTCCCCTTCCTCCTCCCGCTCCCCCAGGCCTTCACCACACTTTGTCTGTGTTCATGGGCTATGCATATATGCATATAAGTTGCCCAGTTATCTCTTCCCCCAGGCCCATCCCCAACCCCTGCCTTCCCTCTGAAATTCGTCAGTATGTTTCATGCTTCTTTGTCTCTGGGTCTATTTTGTTCCATCAGTTTACTTTGTTCATTAGATTCAACATATGAGTGAGATCATGTGATACTTATCTTTCTCTGACTGGCTTATTTTGCTTAGCATAATACTCTTCAGGTCTATCCATGCTGTTGCAAATGGTAAGGGTTTCTTTTTTATACCCATACTAGAGGCCCGGTGCACGAAATCATGCATTCTGGGGGTCCCCTCAGCTAGACCTGTGCCCTCTCACAGTTTGGGAGACCTTGGGGGATGTCCGACTGATGGCTTAGCCCAGCTAGCAGGCCTACGCCATCAGTTGGACATTTTTAGTGCTGCCATGGAGACGGGAGAAGCTCCCACCACTGCTGCTGCGCTCAGCAGCCATGAGTCCAGTTTCTGGCTGAGCGGCACTCCCCCTGTGGGAGCACTATGACCACCAGGGGGCAGCTCCTGCATAAGCATCTGCCCCCTGGTGGTCAGGGTACATCAGAGCGACCGGTCATTCTGCTGTTGGTCTGAAACCAGCTCTCCAACATCTCCCAAGGGGTCCCGGATTGTATGAGCGTGCAGGTCAGGCCAAGGGACCCCACTGATGCACGATTGGGGCCAGGGAGGGACACAGGAGGTTGGCCAGCTGGGGAGGGATTGCGGGAGGGCTCCAAGGCATGTCCGGCCTGTCTCACTCAGTCCTGAGTGCCTGGACTTCGGCAGCAAGCTAACCTACCAGTCCAAGTGTCTGCCCCTCATAGTCAGTGCACATCATAGTGAGCAGCTGAGTAGCCTTGGCATATTATGCTTTGATTAGTTGATCAGCCGACCAGATGACTGGACATGTAGCATATTAGGCTTTTATAATATAGGACTAGAGGCCTGGTGCATGAAATTCGTGCACGGGGGTGTGTGTCCCTTAGCCTAGCCTGCATCCTCTCCAATCTGGGACCCCTCAAGGGATGTCTGACTGCCCGTGTAGGCCCAATCTTACCTAGAGGGGCAGTCAGTCCTAAAGGGACAGTTGGACATCCCTCTTACAATCCAGGATTGCTGGCTCCCAACTGCTCACCTGCCTGCCTTCCTGATTGCCCCTATCCACTTCTGCCTGCCAGCCTGATAACCCCCTCACCATTCCCATGCCAGCCTGATTGATGCCTCACTGCTCCACTGCCAGCCTGTTTGCCCCTAACTACTCTCCTCTACAGACCTAGTCACCCCTAACTTCCCTCCCTTGTAGCCCTGGTCCCCCCCAACTGCTCTCCCCTGCAGGTCTGAGTCGTCCCCAACTTCTCTCCTCTGCTGGCCTGGTCACCCCTAAATGCTCACCCTGCAGGCTTGATCCTTCCCAACTGCCCTCCCTTGCAGACCTGGCCCCTCCCAACTGCTGACCATCTTGTGGCAGCTATCTTATGTTCACATGGGGGCATTCATCTTTGTCCACATGGGGGCAGCCATCTTGTGTGTTTGAGTGACGGTCAATTTGCATATTTTAAAAAATATATTTTATTGATAGAGTTAGAAACATCGATGAGAGAGAATCATTGATCAGCTGCTTCTTGCACACCCCCTACTGGGGATGTGCTTTCAACCAAGGTACATGCCCTTGACAGGAATCGAACCTGGGACCTTTCAGTCCGCAGGCTGACTCTCTGTCCACTAAGCCAGTGTTTTCCAAAGTATGGTATGTGTACCCCCAGGGGTACGGGATGAGTTTGGTGGGGGTACGCGTTACACCGGAGTTTGGTGGGGATATGCACTTCACCGTGCTTAGCTGTGCCTAATTCTACGTTCTCATGAGTACAAGAGGTACTCAGCGTTACGAAAATTATAGAAAGGGTACACATATGTCAAAA